CATGTAAGTTTTTATATGTCTGCAAAGACTACTGTTAACTTCCTGGCTGCTGTTTTTAACCCTTTGTTTCTTTATTTATTAAATGTTAACCTCATTTAACAAAAACAGAAAAAATTCTGGTTTTCTTACGGTGGAAGTAAGAAACACAGACCCGGATAAATGTATTTTTGCAGAAAGAAATTGTTAGTATTTGAAGGTGACTTTGTTATTTATGTTAAAAGTGGTTAATCACAACCATGTCTAGATAATTCACTTATTTAAGCTGAAAGTGGTTATTCTTTTTCTTTAAGTGAAACATGGCTCCTTTACATAACAATGTGTTTTATTTAACGGCTAACTCTGTTTTCTTCACTTTGTTGTCTCAGTATTTTTTTGATGCCTTTCAGAATCTATAAAGCAGGGCATTATTATTTTTCAGTAAATGAGGTTATAATAGGCCTAGGTGGAGTACAACTTTTCTACTTCTGTTATTTGCTGTTGTTTCTCAAATAAAATGCATAATGATATTACAGCTTTCATTGATTTATTTCAACTTTGAAAGATTGTCTAGCCTGTAAGATAAAAAAAAATGAACCAATTAATCGAATCGTATCGTGGTGTATTCTTGGGTATTAAAAATAATGGAACCGTTGGGTCAGGAAATTGATACTGAATTTTGAATCGCCATGATGGGTGTGATTTACACCCCTACTCCAGACCATAAACCTACCACCACCATGTTCTATGATATTTATAATAAAGTTTTTCTAAGGTGAGTTGAGCTTTGCACCCAATGTCATGGGATGCAAACTTAAAAATAAAAGGGCATTGCTGAACTAAACACTTGGTATACTACTACATATATTTATAAATATGTTTGATTTCTCATGAATTCTGATTGTATTCTTTATCTGAAAACCTATTTGGTAAAACTTTGGTCTCTTTGGCCAGTTTATAACATGTTGATAGATATTTTATTTTCTAGGGGCGCTGAAATGTGCTTTTCTTTGGCACCAATGGCTAAATATCACAGCTTAAAAATGCAGTTATTAGATTACACTGGCCTTTAAATGAAATGTTAGTTTTAAAGCGTAACTTGAACTGTGGTTGAAGCAGAAGTTTGACCAATGAAAGCAGAGAGAGCTTTAAGGAGACGGGCATCCAGATTTAGATCTATTTTATAAGGGGGACATTGTATTTGGTTGGAAATTGCTCCAATTCGTGGATCTACTTATTAACTTTCAGTTTGGCTGCTAAATATTTACGTTCAGTGATCATTCCTACCAACAGTGAGATACTCTCCAGTTTGGCTCAATGATTTATGGGTAATTTGTTGAAAATAAACCAAAAACACAATCAGACCAAACACTCATAGGTTCCTCAATGTGTTTATTGAGTAGCAGAGGACAGTTTCATTGTCTGTTCCTTTAAAGCACACAAAGGTCTCACACAGCAAGTTGAGTCACAGCATATGTTGTTTGCACAGATCAGATTTTGCCAATTTCTCACCCTTATAAAAATTTCAAAATAAAACTTTTTCTCTGTTTAGTTCCTTTCCAGGCAGTTTTTATTCTTACGTCATGTAAAGTGTTTTTAAATATGCTTGTGTTCCTCAACAAACAGGCTTTTCCATACTTCTCTCCATGGGTAACAACGTCCTGTTTGAGTTGCATGTGTCAGCCCCTTTCGCATGACTATCTGGAGGCAAAGTAAGGTCTTATCTTCATGCTGATGGCCTTCAGCGAATACCAGCTCCCCTTCCAGTTCATCCACACCACGCCGTCGTCTGTGCCGTGCTTTGCCATCTGTGGGGTGTAGGATCCACCTATGTAATATCGACCGTTAGGATTGGCTGAGTGGCAGCGGTTGTACCACCAACCACCTCCATCCTCCCTGGAGCACTGCTTGCTGGGATCACCAGGGGTCCTGGAAGAAGAGAATGAGGAACTCAAGATTTAATACCTATCAAATATATGTAGCTTTTTGTTTTGTTACCATTCCTCTAATAAATGCATTGGGTTTAACTTTTACAGTGATTTCAATACATGATTGAATATTTTCTACTTTAGTTTTAATGTAATAAAGATATTTAAAGCCAGATTAATAGCTTGAATAGTCAGTGGGCTTTGGGTCACCTACCAGTTGTCATTGTCTCTGTCGAAAGTGCTGAACATCATGCCGTTGTGAATGGTCATGGTGCGGTTTTCGCCATAGAGCGCCAGAGCTCCTTCCAGGAAACAGTTTCCAGCATTACCGGAGTAACCGTCGACAGCCATAATATAGTTAGACGTCTCCGACTGGATGGTGAACTGCTGATATTGGGCATGGACCTAAAAGAAAAGAAACCAGAGGTTTTAGTTTCACTTAATATCAGCATTTTTAGCGGTTAGTTTGAAAAGGAGTTAAATTTACTGTTTTTTGATTGTTTATTAGTGTTCAGACAGCACAGATATAAAACATAAAGAAATAATTTCAAACTAGGACAGAGATTAAACACTGTAGGGGTCAGTAACATGCACAGAGGTGTCGCTAATTTTTGAAAAATGCGTGTTAAACTGCACCCTTTGGAAGTCAAAAAGACATACTAAAGGGCACTCTCGGAAGCCAAAACACAAACTAAAGTGCTCTCTTGGGGGCAAAAACACATGTCAAAGTACCCTCTTGGGAGCCAAAACTTGTGAATAAATAAATGGCTTCTCAGGAGCCAAAACTTGTATTGAATTCCCCTCTCGAGAGCCAAGACACGTGTCCAAGTGCCCTCTCGGGGGCCAAAAGACAGAAGTTAAAGTTACCCTCTCTGGAGCCAAAACACATCCTAAAGTGCACACTTGGGAGCCAAAATGCATACTAAGGTGTCTTCTTGGGGGCCAAAATCCATGTTCAAGTATCCCTTTCGGGAGCCAAAACACATGCTAAAGTGCATTCTCAGGAGCCTAAATGTGCTTAAGTGCCCTCTCAGGGCCAAAACCCATGTTCAGGTACCCTCTCAGGAGCCAAAACACATGCTAAAGTGCATTCTCAGGAGCCTAAATGTGCTTAAGTGCCCTCTCAGGGCCAAAACCAATGTTCAGGTACCCTCTCAGGAGCCAAACACATGCTAAAGTGCAATCTCGGGGTTCAAAACGTACTAAAGTGCCTTCTTGGGGGCCAAAACACATGTTCAAGTACCCTCTCAGGAGCCGAAACACATGGTAAAGTGCAATCTTGGGGGCCAAAACGTACTAAAGTGCCTTGTTGGGGGCCAAAACACGTGTTCAAGTACCCTCTCAGGAGCCGAAACACATGGTAAAGTGCACTCTCGGGAGCCAAAACTCATACTAAAGTGAAATCTACAGTGAAGTGGGGGCACTATATACACTCTTTTTTTTTCTTTCCGCCCCTGCCCTTCAAAAAGTCTCAGCACACCACTAGTAGGCTTCCAAGTACAGGTCTTCAGGGAACCTTACAGAGCAAGACCCTTAACCCACGATTGCTCCCCAGGAGCCACACAATGGCAACCCACTGCTCTCCAAGGGGATGGGTTAGATGCAGAGATAAATTTGGGGGAGTGGTGGGCTAGTAATTAGGGCATTGCGTTTGGGTCCCAGAGGTTCTGAGTTCAATCCCCACTCCCACGGACTGCCACTCTGGGTCCCTGAGCAAGATCCCCGGTCGCTGCACAATGGCAGCCCGCTGCTCCCCAAGGGGATGGGTTACATGCAGAGTATAATTTTGTTGCTTGTACTTGTGACAGTGCAATTACAATTAAACAAAATTATATTTCTCTTCTTCTTTTTAACAATAAAGGTAACTAGACAAGAGCTCAGGATATATTTAACTCAAATAAAAAATGCCAATACCCAAGATGGCATCTTAGAACTTCTTTTTGGTCTAGGTATTGAGGCATAGTTAAGTATGATATTAGAATGTTCGGAGTTGTTAAGAAACCTTACAGACTCACCCTGTCTCCTTTCCAGTCCTCCATCTCAATAAGAACCTCAGTGGGGCCCATCTTGGTCAGCTGGCTGATGTGATCATTTCCCAGCCAGTACTCACCTGTCACATTACAAGAAGGGCCAGTATGATAGTTGCCCACAGGATTTAGTAGGAATAGAGCTGTTAAAAATCTTACCAGGAACCTCGCAGAAACGTTTGCTGGACTGAAAGGCGATGTTTCCGAAACCACGGCGATATTCATCCCAACGGCGGCCAAAGTCCACACTGCCATCAAGCCTGTTCTGGATAAGGACCCATCCTAGAAGGAATGTTTTAAAAAATACTGAGCCCAAAGGCCTGAACAAAAGGTACTGAAGGAATTATTCCCTATAGATATATATTCCAACCTCCATTTTGAGTGGTCTGATCACAGAAGACCTTGTATGGTGGAAACAATGGATCAGGATGTATAATGTACATCTGGGAGTCACGTCCTCCACGCCGGTAGATCTCCTCACACTCCTTACCTGGATCACAAACAAAAGAGGTTATCAAGTTGGTTGGTTACTCTCTTTTTTTCTTTTTTTTTCTTCACTCACCAGAAACCACAGGTATCGGACAGGTGGTGATGCACGGATCTCTGCAGCCTTCTGTCTGGGCCAACACAGCCTTCTCAAGCTTCTGGATCTTCAGCCTGAGCTTCTCCAGGACCCCCTTAAAACAGAGTGAAACAGCATTTTCATTTGTCTTGCTACCTTGATTCATTTTATTGTATTCAAGTTATATAGAAACAGTTTACCTGCAGTACTCTAATGTTGGAGGGGAAAACGGTGTCAACGGTCTCTTTGATGTAAGCGTGTTGTTCCTCTATTTGATCAGTGTACTGACCTGCCACCTGGTTGTTGTCTAAAAACATCAGGAAATGCAAGGACATATGAAACAACAGTTTGGAACTATTTAGCTCAATCTTAAGATATAATTAAGGTAGCCTCCTTGAAATGCTTCAACCATTTCTTGACAGGAAACTTCCAGGTTACCTTCCTGAAAAGGTAAAACTGAATTTCCTGAGACATAAAGGATTTTGTATTGTGTTGCAGTATCGGGCGGGGCCCTGATCCAGCAATAAAATGGTGGTATTAGTATCGGCAAGTACCAACAAATAGGGCACCGATACCATTTTGAGAGCCAAAAGTTTAGTCAACTATTGTCACCCATTCCAGGTAGGCAATAAAAAGCTCTACTGGATTTACTATGTATTAGTCATTTTCCTGCAGAGGTAGGCAGCAGCTTGACAAAGCCATGATGGCAATTATTTTATTGCAAAGCCAGATATCGGTATCAGGGCCAAAAAATGGCATCGGTGCAACACTACTTTTTATGATATGTTTTCCTTACTACTAGTGACCCGCTGTCTCTCCCGCAGAGAGGAGAAGATGCTATTGACGTAGTTGTACACGTTGTTGGACGAGCCAGTCAACTCCCTGATCTGAGGCTTCAAGTCTGAAATTGTCTACAAGGAAACACACAAGAAGAAGTTAACAAGGTCTAATTTAGAAGTTGCCGATTTTTTTTAAGGACCCAAATATTTTCATTTGAATCTATAATCTGCAGAACTTTGTATCAAATTGCACAAAAATACCTAGGAAAAGAGGAACATACCGTTTTAACGTTCCTCTCTTGCTTCTGCAGTGCACTCTTCAGTTCGCAGCCAGTAGGACACAAAACACCCTGCAGGACAACAAAACTCTTCAATGAGGCAAAATTTGGGTCTTTCTTATATAATTTTGTAACCTTTACATTAAAAAAGCTGTTCAGGAAGGATCCACTCCCCAAGCTTCTGTTTAAGGAGTCAAACCCTTTTCTAAACGTTGATTTCTAGGAAACTCATTGGAAGATTTAATCCAGTTTAGGAGCTCTTCAGTAAACTGAACATATCACCGAAGTAAACTGAAGGAAAGCAGTTTATAAGAAATGCTGAAAGTACTCTCTCACCATTGCCTCTGAAGCGTGAGTACACCCTCCCGCATCGGGCTGCACCTCTTTCTCTGCCTCCTGGCTGCCTCTGGCTGGAGCTGGGGTGGGGCGACCTCGGTACCTGAACAAAACACCAAAACCTCAGCGTTTTCAACTGACGTAGGAAAGGCATGTTTCTCTATAGCTTGAACAATGTCTAAATGAGCTGGAAAATTTTTAGGGCTTTTCTTAGAACTTTAGGCAACTTTATACAGGCTGAACTTCTTATTCATTTGCCTCAGGAAGCATACAGACTAAAAAAGTTTCATAAATTTTTGTGGTTTTGGTGAGTTTAATTTGATGACATATAGAGATCAATTATGAAAATAATTCTCAACTCGTGTCTTTTTGTATTCTTTTGTATGTTATTACTTCTGCATTCCTAGACTGCAAAAACTATCTAGAAATAAGTAAACATTTCTTAAATTAACTTTATTTACCCTTAATTTGAGCAGATAAATAAGATGATTTGCCAATGGAATGAGTTTTTTACTCTTAAAATAAGATAAGATAATATGCACTTGAAATAAGACAATGCAATTGTTTTTCTTCTTTTTAAATGTAAATTGTCTTGTTCGATTGGCAAAGATTCTCTTACCTCCTCAATTCAAGAACAAAAATGACCTATTTTAAGAAAAAATTACTTATTTTGATGCACCTTTTTTTGCAGTGTAGACCCTATTCCCTGGTAATTTGTAGATCTGATTACTTTTTTAGAACAGTTTATTATAAAATACCAGTTCAAACCATAATAACTCTGAGCCAGCTCATTTTAAACAGATTCTCTAAAGTTGTTTCATGACTTCATTCCTGTCCATGCAGACACTGAGAGTTTTAAAACAGACTAGTAGGACGGAACAATTCTTAAATTAAGCATATTTACTCTTAATTTCAGCAGACAGATAAGATGATTTGCCAGTGGAATAAGTATTTTTACTCTTAATAGAAATATAATTAGATAATATGCACTTGAAATAAGACAATTTGATAGTTTTTTTTATCATTTTAAATGTAAACTGTCTTGTTCAATTGGCAAAGTGTCTCGTTTACTTCCTCAATTCACAAACAAAATGCATGATACCGATACCATCTGTTTAAAATTGATGTGTGTGTATATATAAAGAAGTTATACTACTTGGATGTAAAATAATTGCCATCATGGCTTTGTCAAGCTGCTGCCTACCTTTGTGAAGCAGGAAAATGACTAATATAAAGTGAATCCAGTAGAACTTTTTATTGCCTACCTGTAATGGGTGACGATAGTTAAAACTTCTGCTACCAAAATGGTATCTGTGCCCTATTTGTTGGTACTCACCAATACCGATACCACCATTTTAATGCCCCATACTGGTATCGGTATCAGTGCAACACTACTAAAAAGCGCTGCTAAATATCAATAAATTGAACCAATTAGGTCTCTGTAGTGCAATGTAAGGTGGGGCAACTTGTCTCACTTTAACCCAACGATGAAATGTGTCTAAGATACGTAAGAATCAGGTGGATTATACGATTATGTTTTATTGTGGTAAAAAAAAAAAAAAACACGACTTTTGAATGTCTGTATAATAAAAAAAAATAGTTTTGGTTTTTGAACGGCAACAAGAGCCGCATGGCTGCTGAGATCTGGTTTAAAGGCTGGACGTCCATTATGACATCAGCTTAAAATATAGATATATCCTAAAGTTTAATCTGACTTTTAATCTCTTCTATATAGAATTGTTTTGTTCAAACATTAATTCTGTGTTTACTGGATTTATACATATTTAATTATAATCAATTTCTTCTATACAGTCTAAGATTGTTTAAATGGGTCTCTGGTACAAGAGGACATTCAGAACTTGAGAAGCTTTGATTTTCTTCATGCATGTTGTTGTACCTGCTGCCTCCGCTGATTGGCGGAGGGGCGAATCTGTTTCCGCCGAACGTTTCTCTGCCTCTGCTCAGCGGCCGATGACCTCGGGCATCTACAGCTGCTCCTGTGCTCTGCACCAACAACAACATACATCCACTGTAAACAAATACAGCTCACTGTAACACAGTTGTGCTTAGAAACTGTTTTACATACTGTGTTGTTTTTGGCTGGCTGCTTGGAACCCTGTGGGGGAATATAAAAAAATAAGGAGTTAAAACTGGTTTTTAGTTTAAAATAAGTGTTTAAATATGTTCCACCCATTAAGATGACAGTAAAACGTCTACAAGACAGAAGATACAAAGTAAAAGTAAACAAAAAAAAACAACCAAAGCTGCAGTGAAGCTAGTAAGAACCATGCATTCAAAAAATGCACAAATATATTTAATCTACATTGGAATTTCTATGAATAAAACTAGTTTTAAAAAATAAACCACTTTTAAAACTAATTATCAGATGGATTTTGTTCTTTTGGGGTAAAACATGACAATTTCTAAATTAATTTTCTCTGTAAAATTGATATTTTCATTAATAAATGACAATGATAGTCAGTTATTTGCAAACGTTTAATAAGCAGGTTATCCCTCACAGAGCTAGAATCTGATTTAAAAATTCTAATTTGTATGATCTGCTGAAGATTTGCATAGATATATGTGTTTCTATTGTATTCTATTTGCTAATTTTCTATAATCAGATATAATAAATGCTTAATAAAACTCTATTACAATCATAACTAGTAACGCTTGTTCAATAAAAGCCAAATTCCTGCATGTTTTTATTTTTTATTTGAAACAGAATAAAACAACGTTTTGTAGGGTTTGGATAGAACAAAATAAATCCATTTATATGGTTAAAACACATTTTATTAAAACGTTTAGATGTTAATATTCTCACCAAATCATAGTCGTCGTATTCGAAGACATCCTGAGCCCAGGTGACATAAAGGCACAGATACAGCAACAGAAACGTCTTCATCTTGATTTTTTCAGCAGAAGCTCTGTAGATCCAGGTTTTCTCTCCGCCTCGTTCTTCTGTCCACCAGATCCCCCCAGAGGAGGCCTTTATCCCCCGGGCTTCGGCTCCTCCTGCCTCCTCCAGGATTTATTGATCCGCTCTAGTTGATCAGTAAACTCTGAGGTCGGTTCAACCAAACCTGACTCAGATCTGAACTGGGCCAAGGAGCAAAAGGGCAAAAGGAGCCAGGAGTCACAGTTTGTTTGTCAAATGAAAGTGTTGAAAGCAGCTGATGAGGTGACTTACCGGCAGGATGGATGAGTGACGATGTAAACATCAGAACATGTTAGGAAAACCAGGAAAGCAGTTTGAAATGTTGGGATCTTCACTTTATTTATAGGGATAAAGTTAAATAGGTTTTTATTTCAGATTAGTTGTAGTTTTCTAATAAGAGAAAATGCATGAATGATCCACTTTCTGCAACCTTACATTGTTACATTGCTACACATATCTTGGCAATAAAATGGAAAACCAAATTTTTCAACATAATGAAACTGGTTGCATCTGGTTGCTGCAGCAGATTTTTCTAAGATTTCACCATCATAAAAAAGAAAGGACATAAAAGAATCAGAAAAAAAAAATGTTATTATATTAACATAATGCCAACATGGAACTTGTTCCCTTTAATGTTGGATAAATGCATCTAAATCATTTATTTTGTGTATTTTTGTATTTTATCTGACTTTTGTGGTCTGTTTCTCTGTTCTTTATGTTTGTATAGGGGAATAATTTTATTTCCATGGTGATTCTGAGGGTTTGAAGGTACATTCAGTTACAGACAGTATCTCACTGCCTGGAAATCCTGTGATGTCTGTTTGAGTCCAAAAGGTTCAATAGTACCACGTGATGAAACAATAAGCACACAAACATCCACATCTGCCACACTGACAAATACTTTTATGCCACTTAATGAGGATCCATCCTTTTTACTTTTTTTTATTGTTTTAACAAGTTTTCATTAAATAATCTAAACAAAAACAGAGGTCAAATATAAAAAAAGAAGGTAATGTTTTGCTCTATTGTTTTCTGAATCCCAATTGTTTCGTTTTACCTTTAATTGTTCTATTGTAACTACTAAAAAAAAGTCTTTTTTATCCTCCTGCTTCCATCATGAAGCTTATTTCTCTGTTTTCCTGCTTATATATTCTGTTCATTAACATAAATTTAATCATTTAAAACATGCTTGTTTCAACCGGAAACTACTTCTTAGTTTTCTTATTATATATATATATATATATATATATATATATATATATA